TTAAATTGGTCTTTTTTTTAATGAGTTGCGAATTTCACAAAAGCCAATAATGAAAATACTACTACTTGAATGATTCTTTCTTAACCTTGTGACCCTGTCCTTATTCTAAGGTCATATCATACTTAGTTCAACAACAATTTATAACATTGATTGTTTGAAAAGCAATGGTTTTCTAGTATCATTTTATGTTATATTACATAGGTAATAAGTTTATAAATATGTACTTTCCTACCTTGTTTTTATCAATTCATCCTCTAGAGAAATCCACATTATAATAGTAAATAAGGCTAATAGCTCAAACTGATCAATTTTTTAGTCTTTCAATTTAAAAACCCAAACAAATACAATATTGAGAATAATTGATGAATGGATGTTTGTTTATGGAGTATGGCTCATTGTATTGTGGAATGTAGCGTTAAAAACTGATTCAGGCCTAAAATGGTCGGGAGTAAGAGAAAGAAAATCACTTTGAATAATGATTAATGATAGAATAAAGGTACGTTTGGATAAAACAAAGGTGTGTTTGATTATTGATCAAGGTAATACAGGTGCTTCATGACAAAGTTTTTGTTAACAGATATCAGATCTAATATAAACACAGAAAGGTGAAAAAATATTTAAGGAAACATGTGACCACCTGTGAAGTTATGGGCCTTATTTATAATTAGATACCATGGGGTTAAAGTCAAGTTTATATATTTATTCATAATGGTATAATAGTTTCATTTGATGCCAAATTGATGTTTCATCCTTGTGGAACTTGCAATGATTGCCAGACTAATTTATATACAGAAAAGCTAATAACAGATATCAAAAGTTGGTCACATCTTCTTGTGTAACTCTGAAATAAGCACAGTATACCTGTAAAACCCCTAAAGTGAAAAATTAAGTCAGTGCCCTCCTATTACACAACAAAATTATGCCATACAAAGTACTTTCTTATTTCACTAATGATAGAGACAGTTTTTGAACACTTAACTGCACATTATCATAGAAGTAATATGCAAATATGATAATATCTTCACTTTGAGGCAATAGGAAAAAAACAATGGATGCTCACTAAAACGAATTCATCCGTGTGTAATTTAACCTATTTTTTCTGCTGAAGATGGTGACATTTATCAAATATGTCATATTAAGATTTCCAGAATGAAAGCCATTATTCAAAATACTGTAAGTGGTGTGTTTTTATTTCAAGATTTCTAAGGGCAAACCTGTTTGCAAGTTTCAATTTTCATGTTCGCTATTCTCTCATTTTGATCTTCCTTCCAAGTCAATTATACACTGGGATTTTTTCCTGATTTTATCTTAATTGTAAACCTAGAGATATTTAACTCCTCACGGAAATAATCAACTTTACAGTAAAAATTCAGTTATGAAAATAGCATCAACTTAGCATATGACCTTTGTATGTTCTAATAGTAAAGCACAAAGAAGTACTGGGAATTGAAAAAAAGGTACACGAATCATCAGCTAATGAAAAATATTTGATTTCATTATCTACAAAAAGAGAAATATAGTTTTGTTTCTGCTACAGTTTCTCAATCCTTGTGACTTCTTTCAAAAAATTGGTGGTACTGAATATTTTGTGTATCTTTTATCCATAAAAATAAAAGCTTTTACTTGTTGTTCAGAATGTAACAGATAAAAAGCTTTTTTTGGATTTGAATTATTAAAGATAGTAATTACAGCATATGCTTTTGATTACCATCTTAAAACTAGTTAAGATTTGAGAGTGCAATCATCATGTCAGTCAGTTACTTATTTATTGCTGGATAAAAATTCTTATTTGCATGCTTGTAGACAATTGACATATCTTAAAAGATAAAACTAAAAAAGAAATGCATTCTTGCAGTTGTCCTCGAATCATAACAAATACAGAAAGCTACTGCAGCTCATAGTGTGTTTGTCCCATAATCAATACTCTACTTAATCTATAAGCAATTAGCAGTACATACAGTGGTGAGCAAATAATAAAACCATCCATTCTGTAGCAGCTTATGTTGTTCCATTATCAATACTCCAGCCAGACTTTCGCAACTAACAGTACAGTGGTCGCCTTATAACACTAACCATCCAACAGCTGATAGTTCAACAGTCACATTTTATTAATCATTTTACAGCAGCTTACAATGCAGTTGACACCTTGTTTTAACAGTGACTATGTCACAGCAGCTAATAGGTCATTAGTTTTCTTTTCACCAACCATTTGAAAGCAGTTTACAGTTTAGTGATCTTATAATAATTTTGCAACAAGTTATAGCAGTAAAATGACCAAAACCATTCTTCATCAACATACAGTGCAATGGTCCCTTTATAATAACATTAACCTTTCTACATGGACAAATAATACATAAGCTTTCTTTAATATAATTGTAAAATCATCTATTCTACACTAGTTTAACCTTGTATGGATAAGAATGAATAAAGGAGATGTGAATGTAATATCTTCGATTATTCAGGGAATGTACCACACAAACCTTCACGACAATCAATTATTACATAATGTTGCTACAGCAATTCAAATGGAATTTTTATAATTATTATTTAAATACTATCTGAATAATCAAGTCTTGATCCAATCGTTTATGAGGAACACATCAATGAGACAACAACCCAGTGACAAAAACAATCAAAAGACATCTAGAGGGCAACATACAGTCATTTACAAACTTTGTGAATTCATTACAAACAGTAGCAAAAAAATAAAAAAACAACAATGAATTTATAGGTATAAGATAGAACATTTTTACTATTATAAATTTTCTCACGATTGAGTAATAGAAAATGCTATCAGTATATTTGTTGGGGGAACTGTCAATTGATTCTTCAGAAATATTTATGATCATCATTAAAAAGTGATAAATTTCAGACTGAGAACTTTACTGCAGAAAAAATGAAGTGAAATCTGTTCAAACAAAAGATAGGATGCTAGCTATCAGTTGTTGACAGTCATAATATTGCTTCACTGACAGAGGGGTCTGGCAGAATACTTTAGATAATGTCAAACTTTGCCAATTTGGGTACACTGACACAGTAAATAGACTCTATCAATTTCATAATATAACCAAGGCAGTTTTTTGTATTGATTGATTGCTTTACCCTCAAACATCCTTATCATCCTTCTTTAGGATGGTTTGGTAACTTCAGAATTTCTTCAAAAAGGAATGAAGGTTATCTTTATTACATCTAAATGATCTTTTCTTTGTTATCTATTTACTCCTAACCCCACATCTTTGTTGTACTAATGTACTACAGTGAAATTTGTATTTTATTTTCTTAGTGTTGCCAAGTTTCAACTTATCACAAAAGTTAGATTCCCTTTCTCTCATTATTTTTTAAGATATTGCTATGAGATATATCTTATCATTTCAAATTGATGCATTAGAGTTTTTACATTTCTGAAGTCTGTAAAATTAATAGTTACTATTAGAATTAAATGATAAGATGTGCAAAGGCATAAGTTAACTTCTTTTTTTTCAAGATTATATTGTGATTCTTTCAGAGAATTAACCACATTAGGGAAATGATATAAAGTATTTTAACAATTGTGTATTTTGAAGGTTTTTTTTCACATATTTAATATGCATATTACAATAAAGAAAACAAAAGCTTCATAATCATTAATTGATGAGCCGGTTAAGAAAAATGCTTTCAGAGAAAATAAGTTAATTTCCTATGGAAATGATTGACCCAGTCAAGTTGAATATTAATTAACCCCACAAAGGCACTTGAAGCATAGAAATAACCCTATTCCAACCTTATTCCTTTGACAGTTATATAAAATGATGTTTCTTTATTATTTAATCTCATTTCTTGTTTTTGCTCATAATTGTTTCAGCAGCTTAAGGTAAGATGGAAAATTAAAGGGAGGTACATGTAAGCTATGGTTACTCTAAGATTGTATGTATTTAAATAAGATTGTGCTAGGTAAAATTTACAGTTGTAGGGGTTGTGCGATTTTGAAAATTGAAAAACCAGCAAAATTGTGCTGTGTTGCATTGATTTTCAGATGAATTGAATGAAATTCTGTAGAGTTTTTACTATAGGCAAAATTTTTTGAACTTAAAAAAACCTTTTGAAGTGGGTAAAATTGGCACTGTAAGCATGTCTCAGTGAATTTGATTGAGAATTATACTAAACCTTAACAGTTTTCAATAGTGCTTAAAAACCTGCAGTTTTATTTTTTAATTTTTTAGATGTTGTACCTTGAAAAAATTTAGGAATTTTTAAGGAGTTCAGTTTGTACAACTGATATTTTTGCAGTTTCAGTTGGTTCATATCTGTTTGAGCATTATTCAGCAGTTGTTTTTAAACATCTGTTATTGAATGTCATTGCACACCTCCCAACTGTTAAAGAAGTGTGTCAACTTTTTTTATCAAATGTACATGTCATGTAAGTTGTAGAAATAAAAACAAGAGTTGCTTATCCCAAACATCTCTGAAATAGCAAAAGAAGCCTTTAACAGGTTGAAACCTCGTGGGAAAGATAAAATTTAATTACTATCTGTTGGAATGGTTGGCTTATCAGATAAAATCCTATCAAAGTGCTATTACTGACCAGTGTCAATCTGATAGAGACTGCAGACAAAATTGCCTTACAGATGTTTAAAGATAACTGAATACAACTACTGAATTTTAATGTTGAAAGATCAAAACTGTGATGCTGCGAAGAAAATAAGCAAGGTTCCAAAAACTGTACATTATTATAGTTTACATGTCAGAAAATCATGAAGATTTCCGATATCTTTGGCTCGCTTCATAGTGCGTAAAATACAATCACAGAAATAAGAGAAATCTTGGTGCGTAGCCGAGTTATGTAACTTATTGATATAACAGTGTCTTATCTGCATACTATGACAAGAATGCATGTCATACAAGTGTGGCATAGATAAGGCAAGGGCATTAACCCATACATCACAAGTAGGTATTGTTGTTTTCCATGTTTATAAACAATGTATGGCTACTCCTCCTAACTCATAACATTGTTTATACTTCAGATGGTAAAATAAAGGAGAGGCTCCTCAGAGAACTATTACAAAAGTTGTTTACTGCAGAAGAAAATGTTGCATTTGATCTATCCCTAAGAATTTGGCCTGGCAAAGCTGCTTAGTGAGTTATATATGAAATGTGCAACTTGAACAATATTGTTATATTGCTGAAGGCAGGACAATATAAAAATAAGGAGATGAGGTATGATTACCAATGAGCCAACTATTCAGCTAAGTTCAAATAAAGTGTATGTAAGCAATTATAGGCAACTGTACGGCCTTCAACAATGAGAAAAACCCATACCGTAAGACACTTAATGTACATTTCTTGAAACTTGCATAGTGCTTTCTTTGATATAATGAAACTGTGGTAGTTTCAAAAATCCTTACTGCCTTAAAGTGTTTGTGATTGAACAATAAATTTCGAGATGAACTCAATCTGTCATACAGTTTTTCCATCAATGTTTAGTTTTACTTATTACATTATTATTTTATAATGATATAACAGCGGAATAAGGACATCTTGATTAATGTAGGGTCTTTCTCATTATGCTTGGCTTGATTTTCTAAATAAAGAAAGGTCAAGGTGAATTAGAATGCAAATAGGTTAATGGTACTACATGTATTAACAAGTAAAAATAACCCTTTTCAAAACAAAGATAAAACAAAGCAGAAAAAATTATTCCAAGTTGTAAACTGCACTTTGAGAGAGAGATATGCCCTATGTACTATCTTTGTTAAACATTATTAAAAAATAAAAACTGAAAAATATTATCATACGACCTAGGCAAACAGTATAACATTGAGAGCATGAACATTTTTTATCTATGAGGAATGCTACGAATATTATTTTGTTTCTGGGGTGCATTCTGATAAACCCATATCTAATGCCAAGTTTCAAGCCTATATGTTTGTTTTTGATACAAATTTTATATCATCATCAAATACAAAATTTTGCACTAAGCTTCTTAATTATAAGGGCAAAAACATTAAACTCATTATACCTGTATGCCACACAGTTTATGGTGTATAATGTTACAAGCAATTTGTTCTGTCCATCTGTTCTTGATTTCTGATTTACTATAAGAATCTAAACCTTGGTAAAGATCAGGGGCATAGTTTACAAGAAAATAAGGTTTTGTCTATTATAATTTCATCAATGACACAGACAATTTTTCTCAATGGTCATAGGAAGAAATATATTAGCAGCTTTCATTTCATCATAGTGGGTGTAACTCTATTTAAGAAGTACTTTACTTTTGCTATTTTTTGCTATTATTACAAAAATCAAGTTAAATGATGCTCTTAATGACTGTATTAATAATTGATTACATATCATCATTTGACCTACAAGTATGCAGTAACTAAGACTTGATAAAAGTGAAGTGCCTGATTAGTACCAAGTACCTTTATAAAAAATTGAAAGTTTTTTTTTAATAAAAAAAAAAGAATCTGATATGAACTCTCTTCTTGAATTTTAGTTTTAAGACTACAATTTTGAATGTAAAAGATGGTTTCAGTTTCATTAGACAACTCAACTTCATTGATACCATATTGATTTGAATGCCTGGTCAGTGAATGGAGATTTTAATTTGTTATTACAATTTATGTGTGTCACAAAAAATTACTGTATTTTTGATGTATTATAATCTCTTATACAATATTGTGTAAGATAAATCATTATGGAAGATCTTGCTAAACGAAAGGAGTATAGAAAGGTAGATCCCCTAACCTGTTACCAAATCTGTTGAGAAGGGTTGGTTTAAACACTTTTAACAAAATTTCAATCAAACTATGGCACAATCTGATAAGAACCCCCTTCCCATCCCCATCCCCTCCTAATTAGACTTTAGTATCTGCTATTGCTATATTGGTATGTTATCTTAAAAGCTTATCAGTCAATGAATTTTGATACAATATTTGCTATTTTTAACCTTGACTTTTTTGTAGAACAAAAAATCAAGGTGCACTCTATTCACACTAATTAGTGAAAAAAGTGCAAAGGTACTGACTCAAATGTTGATAAGAAAAAGAATGGAGTTGAACTCCTTTTATAAGTACATATATTTTGAGATCAATGTATTTCAAACAACTATTTTGCTTCTACTATAAGTTACTACAAGTAGCATTAAACACATTGATCAGTCAGTTGGCTGATAAATCTAGTTTCTACTAAAATCAATGTGCTGTCGATTTTTGTATTGAAACACCTTGTTCCCATTTATCTTTGACAAAACATAATCTTTTTTTATTGTAAAAGCTGCCAAATTTTAACACAAAGATCTGGAGAAAACATCACTTTTGATTGTTTTAGTAGTTGGTATCAGGATGAGGAATAATTACTTAATTATTGTTGACTTACACGTGTAAACAACTAATTACACATATTTACTTTGTGGAATTTACACTTTTTTTTCTGGAACAGTGTGTACTGAAAGCATGATTTTTCTGGGTATGATTCAACTATATTATAAATGGAAAATGGATTGTTATTTATACATAAAAATTGGTAGATGGTCAAAATTAGATGACATGCATTTCTATCCTCTGCTACATTTGCTGAGTAACTGAAATTTTTGTTCGTAATCTTAAACCTCATCTGTAAAATGAACATAGATTTAGTAAAATTGTTTTTATCTGCTTTTTTCAGACAGAATTTTACTGGAGGTTACAGTCCTATTAATACTGTCTATGTCCAATTATATTTCATGAAGTTAAGTATCGCTTCTTGAAGTAAGATTGTATGCTGACCAATAATTAGTAAGTTATCTTTAGATTTTCATTTGCTTGTAGTTATATTAAACTAAAACATCACAAGTGCTTGCAGTTCTATTAAACTAAAACATCACAAGTATTTGCAGTTCTATTAGACTAGAAAATCACCAGTAACATTAAATAACCTGGTTTATTTCATAAGGGACTATTTTGAATAAAAAGATATTTTGTACTGCACATAATGTCAACCAAAACCTTAGAAAAAAATTGATATTTCACATCTTTCTTCCAAAGTGTTGAGGGGTCTCAGTGGCCGAGTGGTATTAGTAGTCAAACTACTGTATCAGTAACCTGTCAACACCGAGGATGTGAGTTCGAATCCTTCACGTGGCCGAGTGGTTTAGGAAGTCGAACTACTGTATCACTAGCCTGTCAACACTGAGGTTGTGAGTTCAAATCCCTCACGTGGCAATCTTAATTGACTAGGATTGTCAGTTTTCCTACCAAAGGGTAGGTGGTTCTCTCTGGGCATTCCAGCTTCCTCCACCAATGAACACTGACCGCCATGAAATAGCACAGTAGTGCTGAAAGTGGTGTTAAACACCAATGAATCAGTCAATCAATCCTAAGTTTTGTATCAATTTTCCTTCCCAGTATGCATCACTGATGAAATGTCCACTGGATTTTTTTTTATGTATTGTTGGGTTGTTGTCTCATTAAAGTTTATCTTACATCTCTTTTTATTCAAACATTATCAGGAGTTTGTAAGTCAGGAGCCTGTAATTCAGTAGTTGTCATTTGTTGAAGTATATCATATTTTTTGTTTGTTTATTGATTTGTACATAAATCAGGCCATTGGTTTTCCACATTTAAATTGTTTTCCACATTTAAATTGTTTTACATTTATCATTTGGGGGCCAATATAGCTTGGTTTGTGGAATGGTTTTTGCTCATTGTTGAAGGCTGTACAGTGACCTATAAGAAATATCTTCTACGTCATTTGGTCTCTGGTAGAGAGTTGTCTCATTTGTAAACACACTGCGCTTCTTATTTTTGTAATGTTTTGTATGGATTACTGAAATCTATTGTTGTGTGTACTAATCATTCTAATAAACCTAAAAAAAAATGGAAAAGATGTTAAGTATACAGCAGTGATACAGCAACCAAACAAAACCATTAAACCAACAAGATATATAGAGGGTGACAACATGATCTTAAATGATAGACAAATGAATTTACTATAACATGACAAGCTTAATCAATCATGTATCTCATCTAAACTAGGGACTAAGTATTTGACTTATAGCATGCACAACTTGAGGGGGGATACAAAAGTTTTATGAGTGCTCAGCCCTCTTTCTTATAACTCTATCAGAGCAATATGATAAGACACATTGGACTGTTGTTTTTACCTTTGGTTTCTTTTTTCATAGAGTACTTCGTTTTGTTGGACTAGTACTTCTATGTTATAAACTTGAGTGAAACTTTATGAAAAGACAATTTAAAAATTTCATTAATCCAGTATACCTAAATACAACTGTGTCTCATATTATACTAAGCAAAATGTGATCAACTGCCTAATTGTCATTTGCATCTTTAAATACATTACTGTATCTAATCAAACAAGTTTTTTACAAAGCTTATAATTACAATGATTTACCCATCTTGAAAATTTGAAACAAATGTGTTTTAATACCAGTTCATAAATAAAAATAAACAGCAACACACTTTCTGTTCTGAAATGTCCTTAACAAAAACTAAATAACAGACATATAATTGATTAACCTTCATTTGATGAGCAGACTTTAGCCAAAATTTTCTCATAAAGTTGTCCACAAAAAAGATCTAAAGTAGTACACTAATTAACTAAAGTTGTAACAAGTCTAATGAATTAAGGACAAGTTGAGGCCACTCTGTATGAAGCCTTTATACATTGATACCTTAACTTCAATGTTATCTATAAAAACAAACAACATTATTGGTAAATAAAGATAATTAAAGTCTACAAGAATTAATCTCAGACTCACCTGTACATCTAAATGTAAACAAATTGTTTGACTTAAGATTCCATGTTATAAAATCCCTGCAAACTTTGTCCTGTGAGAGGCACTGGGCATGGATCCAGAGAATGTCTTAACTTCCCTACCAGATGTCTTACTACAGCTTGTTTAACAGAACTTGTTGCTTTTTATGTTTCATTCATCTGATTTATAATTTAATCCGCTTGAAAGAATTTCATTATGCTTTTACAGATTTCCCATTATAATTTGTTTATGTTTTCTATGACAAATCATCTGTACCTCACTTTCTTGTTATATAAATTTTTTGTTATGATACAGAATCGTTGTTGAAGCCATTCCAACAACTTCTTGATAAATGTTTGCTTTTTCTAGTTTTGATATCTGTCCAGATTTAATAACTTAGAGTTCCTTCCAATTAGTGACGTTACTAGTACAATTAATGAGAAATTATCATATTTCATGCACTTTTTAAGATGACAGTCATGAAGAGGATTTTGTAAGTTATATTTATTTTTTTTAGCTTTTGTGATGGATGTAACATTTCAGATTTTCAAAAAAAAAATTTTTTTAAATGTTTTTACTCTTTACACCTTTTGTTTTGTAGAATTTTACGATAGAGAAAACCTTCAAAGTTGGGCTTATATTGAAGATGGCAGGTATATTAAAATAAACAGTCACTTAACTCTTAACATCTTGACATGGAAACTTAAGTGCTTTGCATCTAATGCGACTTCTGTTGACAAAAAACAGATATGATCTTACTACAACAGAATGCAATTCAGATGTAAAAACTTCCTCTTACTTCTTCCTGCCGTTTACTTCTTGTTTCCATAGAAACAGGTGTAAACAAAATGAATTGCCCCTATATCAATTTTGGGCGTAACTATTATCATGATATAAAAGTAATAGCCCCTATGTTATTAAATAAATGTCAAGACCAGATATTCATACCTTTATCAGGGTTTTGTACACTCAAAATGATTGAACAATCAATCAGCGGTAAAAAATTAGTTACGGAGATTTCCTGAATGTGAAGGATGTGATATGATATTGACCTCGTAATTTATTGCGATGAACAGGATAATATATATTTTGCTTGCCAATTCCCATCTGTATTTTATGATAGAGAAAACACATGAACTTAATGTGCTAATTGCCTAATTAACATAATTGATGTATAATTATATTGCATAATTTATAGATAGGTATTTTGGATTGTATTGTTTCCTTCCTCAATACGCATCAAAGGGAAATAACTCCTGTTTTGTTCTTATTTTGCCAATATGTAATAGGCTGCCTCAGCACTGCTGTTGGAATGTTACATGTATTTTTATTTTTGGATAATTCATGCATTTTTGCTGTGATTTATCACTAGATGCTGTGTGCTGTGACATATGCAATATGCAATTTTGTGTCATTGAAGCAGTGGGGCAAAATAAGTGCCAGATTTTGAGTAAAACCCTTATTTTGTCTCATTTGATAGATTTTTGTGCTAGTGGATGTTTTATTAATATTTGGTTTTTTTTTCTTGATGATTATTTTCATTAGTTCTTATACAGTTAGTCTTAATACAGATTTATTTCTGAAGTGACAGATTGACAGAGAGGATATTTTTTATTGGCTTTGAAAAAAACGGGAATGGATAGGGAACTTTTATTACAATTCTAATTTGCCAAGTCTGCCACAGTAAGAAAAGTAGTATGAACACAGAACAAGGAATAAGTTGTTTGAGGTGGCTTGTATTAGAGTCTTTAAAATAACCCCAATTTTTAGAGATTGTGAATAGACCCTTATCTCACATTAATATTTTATAACTTTGAGTAGCTTTTTTCTAACTGAATTTTGCCCTAATCAAGTTCAAATAAGTATAGGCTACCAGGGTACATGGAGTTGGCCTCAAACAAGTCAAATTAATAGAAAGGTACACAAAGTCAACATTTTCAACACAATGTCAATTCCAGGTCAGGTTTGCTGATTATGCTATTTTGTATAGGTGCAGATTATTTATTAAAAAAAAAGGGTGAAGTTTGCAGACAGAATTTCCCAAATGTTCCAAAGTTTTGAGGACTTAATTGACAATAAAAAACAAAATTATGAAAATAATACAAAAATACAGAATTACTTGTGTTAGTGATGATGGACACTTTAGTCAAACGAAGCTATTTCAGGAATAAGTTATAGGCTATTACAACAAAATTTTGAGAGTCTAGGATGATGAGATAAAGAAATTTTCTCTATTCATTATTCGCACAAACCACAAAGATTTTGATCTGGACTTGTTTGTTATGTCTATAGTATTGTCTGATTTCTGGCTTATCTTGTCTGAGATGATTTCATACCTGACTAACTATCCTGTCAGGACAACTAAACCTGCCAGATACCTCATCCACTTCAAGCAGTCACTCCTTGCATAAAGTATTTAAAAAGTCATAAATATTCTATAACTATTTATAAACTACACTGATTTGCATGCAATCAGGAAGAAGAATAAGTTGAACTTAATTTAAGCTTAAGGTTAAAGTAATTCATTGCTTATTAACCTGATGCATGTGATTCTGATATTTTATTTGATTCAGCAGTTTTGTATCATTTTACTTCAACCTGTTTTGATGGTAATGTACAAGGTTAAATCCTGCAGCTTGCAATCTCAAAAGTGAAATTCAAGTTTTAATGTTTGAATTGTTTACACTAGTCATTTTGGGACCCTTTGTAGTTTGCTGTTCGTTGTGAGCCAAGAGTGAAGGCCATACTTTGACCTATAATTGTTTACTCTTTATACATTGTGACTTGGATGGAGAGTTGTCTCATTGGCACTCATACCACATCTTCTTATTTATATTGTAGGGTTGTAAGTATGCTTTATTTTTTCACTTTGCACTTTGATAACTTTACGGTGGTTCTCTACAGTGGTTGCTTAAAATTTCTGACCAGTTGAACAGTTTGATTTGATAAAACAAATTGCAATTGGATCGGAATTTTGAACGAATTGCGATTGGTGGAGAGAGAACCACTTATAATCAAGTCGCAGTAACTTATTTAGAAATTGCTTATTTCTCCTTTAATTATTGTAGAGACAAATGTGTGATTTCTTATAGTCAAGGAGTTGTGTCATTATGAATAATACAACCAAAAAAATGACAACTTATATTAATCTTACAAGTGAAATTACTTTTAGTATACCTTTAGTTTTAACAATAAGATGTTATGTGAAAAGAGTCACTATAAGCTTTGTACAAAAAAAAAAAAATGTAATGAAAATCTAGAAAAAGATATCCATGCAAGGTCATTTGATTTTTGCATTCAAATATTTTTGACAGACCAGAGTGCTTCAAAGAAAAACTGGTAAATCCTTTAACTTAGTAAAGTAGAGAAAAGTTTTAAGTATCAGCTGGCTCACTTTTTTACTATTCTAGGCTTACATTTTTCTTGAAGACTTGAGATATACTTAAAATCATCTAAAATGAAGTCATAATGTGCTTGAATTTGAGAGCACTGATAAGGTAACAGATTGTGTTTACTATATTGCACCTGTCATACTACAAGTCCATATTTCATCTACACATATCCTACTGTTTGATACATAACATTTTGAATGATAATTGCATGTTTATCATTCAAATATTCCAATCAGTGCAAGTTATTCACTTTAAATCTTAAGTCAGTAATGTGAAATTTATATCTTTAACAAATTTTTATCATTAAATTTTAATGACTGAATAGTTTGGATGATTTTTATCCAGAAAATGCATTGGTTTCTTTATCAAACAAAATCCAAAACAAAATTCTTGGCTAGTGAAATTGTTATTACGTAAATTGCAACACTGAATTTCAAAAATTACATATTTCACTTTTAAAGACATTATCACTCAGTTCAGAATACATTTCTGCAGTATTTTGGTATCATAAATGCAAATTTAATATTTGCAAATCAATTTGAAAAGTATACATGTAATCATATATGAAGTCTATACCTGTCAACTTCCATACACTGATTCTGGGAGAAGGTGGTCACTGCAGTTAAAAAAAATCAGAGATTAGTCTTTTAAAAATCATGTTATACTGTTAAAGTGCCACTGAATTGGACCAGTTTTCCTGACTGTCACTTTTACTTGATTGAGTCAAAGTGGATACTTTTTCACAGCCATTTATTTTGGTGATATTCTAAAAAAAATGTATGTGTTAAAAAGAATGCATGAGTGAGATATACTTAAAGCACTCTCAGAGTACTTTTTAAACTGCTGATTTAGAAATCATGCTGTCAAAAACTCTAATATCGTCAACTGTACTCATGTCATCCACTCCATCATATCTCTTCTTTTTAAAGTTATATACTGGTATTACTTGAGGCAACATACTTGTTTGATTGGAAATACATGTATATTGTTAACCAGGAGGCAACAGACATGCTATGGTCTATTTTCAATGCTTCTATTAAATGTGTATTAGATTATGATTTGATGTTTGATGAAATTGATTTTTTATAAAGATATGAGAATTTTATCTGAAGAATTCTGTACCTTGACAAGGTTTTGATATGATTTTCTCCAAACAGCATAACTTTGACAGGAGTCTGACTGTGAAATCAATAATGAAAGATTATCTTTATGACAATGATAAATTTGAGCAAACATTTATTTTTTTTAACTAAATTTTGTAATTTAACAGACAGATTCTATTTTGTCAACTTGATTTTTTCTGTAAATAATAGACATCATATTGGGTAGGCCGGAAAAATGAAAGAGACAAATGACAATTCAGCGGTAGTTTAAGATATCAAAGATGTACCGATACTGATACCAAGCTGTGATATTTTTTCAACGCCTTTGTAATTTTGTGGTTTGCTTTATCTTTAAGTTCAATGTGAGAAAATGTCTGAAGTATATTTTTACCTGAAGGGTTTTATGTGATGTTAGATTTTCCCATAGAAATAAGTTGTAGGTAATGCCAATGAGAGTGAATAGCATTATATAAAGTTCTTATTCTCTTTTGTCATTTTAAATATGACTGACATTGTACACCCAAATCATTTGAAAATTTGCTAGTGAAGAGGTACAGGAAATTTGGTAAATGATATGAATCTTCAAAATTTGATATATTGCGAAATTGATTCTTGAACTCTTTTAAACTGTGACTTGATCTTGTAGTGAAGTTCAAGCTTTTGTTCCATAATGAAGACCTCAGTGTGACTTGGAAATGAAAAATAGTTATAAAAGTACCATTCCTTTCATATAGGGATTTTGTGTCATGATTGAATACACAGTATGCCTTCTTTTCTGTTAATAAACATTTTTCTTTGTCCCTGCCGCTAGGAGAAAGGGGCATAAAGTTTTACCCTTGACCTTCCCTCTGTCCTTCCTTCTGGTTTTTTTTCTTTTTTGCACTAACTAATGTTTTCCTTTTCAAAATTTTATGAAACTCATACACAAGGCCAAGAACAAAAACACACAGACAGAGTTCATTTTGGCAGTAAGCCACTTACCATTCTAGAGTTATGCCCCTTTATACTTAAGATTTTTTTTTGTTTCCCTACACTTAAGTTTGCCTCATTCAAATTTTATGAAACTCATACACAATGCTAAGAACCACAACTTGCAGACAGAGTTACATAGTTAGAATTTGGACAATGAGTCACTTACCATTCTAGATTTATGCCCTTTATAACTTGGAAAATTGCAAATTTTTTTTTCGTTTCCACACACTACCGGTAACTTAAGTTTGCCTCATGCAAATTTTATGAAACTCATTCGTGTCCTCAGACACATTCTTCAAATATTTAAATATGCATAGAGAAGCTTTTAACAAACATTAAAATTTTGCAACAATCTTAATGTAATAGTATCTTAACACAAATTGTAATATATGATGTATTTATATTAATGAAGATCGTTATGTAATAGATTACCATATATTAAAAAATAACATTTGTGTGAATTTATTTCAGATAAAGTATAAAGATTAGCTGCTGGGACACAGGGTGAAGTTTGACCAACATTAAGGCACCTGATGAGCACAGAGATAAAATTGTAGACATTTCAAACATAAAAAGTTTGAGAACTGAGGTAATCATGAAGAATTAGATACCATTTTATCAAAATAATCTTACAAAGATCTAAAGGAGGTGAAACTTAAGAATGGTTTGAGTTAGAATGCCCAGTATATGTTAAAATTTGAATGTTTTTACCTCTGATTCATTAGCTTTCAAGTACGTAAAGAAAACAGTAATAATGAAGGTGTATGGGTTGCTTTGACCTGCCTCAACACCTGCATATCAAAATTGTTAGCTGCATAAGTATGCATTTGCTTTCCCATGGTCTTGTTTATCAACATAAGGTGAGATATTTGCATAACTCAATTGATTCTTAATTTGTTGTTTATAAATGACTGCAGTAGTCTGCATAATTGAAGTTTAAAAATTCAATATAGTTGTGGCCATTAATATACATTTAGTGATTTAGAAACAAAAAGTTTGCAGTTTTTTGAAAAGGTCAATTTAAAAACTGCTTCTGCTTTTGTGTCACTTGCCATTTCCAGCCAAACCCTAAGGGTTGACTGGGGTATAAAATATGGTCCTCCTTGGACTTACCAGTCCAGCAGTATAACCTTTGTTAAAGAGGAGTGTCCATTTGGCTGTGTGGTGTGTATGAAGACTCGGCAATGTCCAGTCGGAATGGAGACGTTAAATATGATGCACAAGTGCACAAATGGTCTCTGAACATTAAAGAATCCTTGCAACAACTCTCTGATGGGTCTGTAGGTGTTGCAAGGCAAATTTCCTACATATCCTCATTTTCAAGTCTATTTCAGAATGTGCATAACTTATTTCCCACTGACTGTTAAACAAGCAGCAATTAAACAAACATTCCCAGCTATTTGAATTTGTCAAAATAGATAGTTTCATGAATTATATGGTGTCAGAAAAAATGGGAATGACTGCAGTTTGTCAAAAGTAAAGTCATGATTTTCCTTGTTGATTAGAAAAAAAAGGAGTTGACTACCAAATACAAAATTCAGTCACAACATTTTCAATCAAAATTACATGATATCGTGATTTAATAAGGCTGGTAGAGGTAGTTGTATTACACAAGTTAGCTAACAACAGGGGCATAGGTCCATAGGCTTCAAACTTCCACCTTTAAACACTTAATAAAAAGAAACCTGGAAAACCATGTGCAAAGGTTTTATTTTAAAATAAGTTTTAATTAACTTATCAAAATAAGACCGGGACCACTACCAGCATATTTTATCTTTAATTACCACAACAGAAAAAGGTATACAAGCATACCAACAATTGCTTTAAGCTTTTACAAACTAAACTAAAAAGACATATATTGAACCACCAAAATGCTTACCATGTTTTAATTTCAGCTATTGACACTGACGAGACAATTTTAAGTGCATTTGTACTCAAAAGATAGGCTATCTATTTCAATCAGCAAACATTTACTGATTAATTCCTTTCAAAAAGCTAATTTTCAAAATATATTTGTAAAAACTATGATATTAACTAGTGACAGAACAAATTTAAGCGTAATTGATGAGAAATCATTGTCATTAATAAAGCTAAGAGTCAACAACGTATCCTTATCTGCATATTATACAAGAACTTGATAAAACAGGATGTAATCAAGTAATGTTTTTGTTTAATTACAGTCGGGATGATGTAAGTTTCCATACAAACACTTTGTGAATTGAAAGCCCAGTAGAATATTGAACAGCTGCAGTGTCCAGGTAGGTTGAAGTTTGTTGCACCTCTAGTCAGGTGTGTTAACTTCCATCCAATAGATTCACAGTTTATATTGTAATATTGTCAAACTGATAGTTATACTATCATGGTTTTATCGATCAGGTGAAGAGGTTTCTTATTACAGGAGACTGAATTAATAAAATAATTGATAAAACCAAAAACTTATGAAACATGTAGCTCATTTCAAGTATACAATGCTGTCAGTATGAATAAAAGTAGATAATAGATATACTTCAATGAGACAGCAATCTAACAAATGCAACAGATATTTAGATGAAATACATTCAAACATTTTGGCTGACTATATAAGCTTCTTTGTGGTTTTATTGTACTTAACCTTGTATGATTACCTTTTATGAAGCTCTGCCACTGCATCGAGTTTAAAGCTCAATAAGATGAATCTTAAAAAGTTTTAGTTGTAAGCTGCAAAATGCTGTGAACTAAATTTCAAAATAATCACATAATTTCAGATCATCAGAAAAAAATTTGAGGGATTGTTGTCATGTTATTTGGATGTTTTTTTTGCAAGAGTTAATGCCCTTTTAGTACTTTATATGCTTCTTTACATAACAATTCATGTAACTCCACTGACAGTCTAGGTAGGTTGCCAGATAATGTTGATCATGATTTATTGCAATGTTTTAATTGAATCTTTTTAGCAGCAGTGAGACCTTTTGCAGTATACATATTTTAATAACCTTGTGACAGCAGAAACTTTATTATAGTTTTCTCTTTCGTTAGGATGTTTGATCATGATAAGTAGTTGGTCTTTAATTCTGTGATTTTTAGGGGTTTTGACCTTGGAATACATTTACTTAGCATTATGCCCTTAATATAAATGTGTACCTTTTAAAATCTATGTACTGTACCTGAATAATATAAAAATAAGAAAATGAATTATGATTGCCAATGAGACAACAATCCACCAATGTTTAAATGAAGTGGATGTAAGTCTTTCATGTTAATCAGATAACTGAAGTAAAAATACAATAGGAAACTGTATCTTTTTTTTTATAAAAATGCCTCAAATACCAAATTAAGGTTCAAGACCTGTCATTGTTTGATGTGAATATTTATTTCTGCCTAATGTGTAGATTCCAATCCAAGGGAGGTAATTACAGTTAAGAAGCCTCCTCTGCAGATAAGCCATCTATTGAAATACAACAATGTTATTGTATGAATTGCATAATAAATGAAGTAAATCTGTCACTTGAAACATATTTATATAATGGTGCTGTTTACATCTTTTCATTGATTTTAAAAGATTTATTGTCAATTTTTTTGAGTCGTTCAGTTTAAAAATTTGAACCTTTCAAAGTCAAAGTTGTATAAATGACAGGATTTGTTTTGCAAGCTTGTGTCATAATAGTATTTCTAGTAGGTCCCTAATGGTAATTAAATATTACATGTTTATAAATCTACTGATAAATTATCATTTTAAAAAGCATTGAATCACCACTATTGACAATAAAACAGCATTTTAAATTTCCACTTAAAGCAGATTTTGGAAGAAGAATGCATTGTGATCTATTTTCAACATTACTTGATCCTTTTAGCTTGCTGCTGCATACATAATGAGGACAGCTTTAATATAAATTGAATTTTTCATGAGAAATAAATTCTAGCAAGTGTTTTTTTACCTCATCGAAGATACTAATGAAAAATACTATCCTGAGGATTTGTATGAATAGAATTCTGATTAAATTCTACACATTTTAATTGTTAAGAATTGATGTCTTGTATTTGCAGTTGAATTTCATTACAAAAAAGATGTGTATTAAAGATTTTTACATCTAATATATTATCTTAACACATTATCAGAAGGAGAACTTATAAATTCAATGTAAACCAATATGCTAAAGATTTTTTTCTCACTGAAATCACAGTATAACCCCACTATGTTATATCTCTGGGCCTGTCTTTATTATTCCTGGGTTATGACTTGTCAAGAGAAGCAACAGTTGTTTTTACCATATTCAGTATCATTGGTTTGCTCTTGCTTCTAAGTGTTTTCCATTTGTAGACTCGGCAAATACATCAAATAAATTCAATGTCTTGACTTTTAAGGACCTAATGACTAAGTGGCGGATAATACGGCTTTGTGGCTTTGTGGCTTAAGAGTTGGAAAATATCTACCTGTGCAGATGACTTTTGCATACCATACCTAGGTTGTACAGTAGGTATTTTAGATTCATGCAGGTCATTTGTAAAAAAAATATATATATAAGGTATGCTCTGTCCATTGATACACAGAATTCAAAAATACCATAGAAATTACATTTATTTGATTAAAGTTCAACAGAACTATTATGATTTCTTGGTTAACTGTTCTCAAGGTACGATTGATACAAATTCAAAAATACCATTGAACCTGGTGAAATTGAGCTCTATAAAATAAATCTTTTTTTCAATAACAGACATTGGAAACTTGTTCAAGCTTTCTGTTGGGTCAATTCAGGAATGAAAATCTACATATTTTGTTTCTAAACAATTTGTATATGAGAAGACTTCTTCATTAAGTTCACCATAGTTTCCTCAATCCATCAAACTGAGTACCACGAGAAGTTTTAAGCGTAAATTTTGAAAGATTTTTAAAGAATTTTTAAAAAGGACCCATGGGTTTTCTGATAAAACATTTATCACCAATTCCTTCATCATAGGCGTAAATGATTTGATATATTGTCTTGTTTTAATTTTTGTAAATGTATACTAATGAATCCACCTCTTCTGTTGCAATCCTAATCAGTAAGTGAAGGTAATCAATATTTTCCAAAGTAATATATTATGATCATTTTGGTTTTACAACTAACATTTCAGTACTCATGTTCTAAAACTAGAGCATAAAAAGTTCTAAAACTAGAGCATAAAAAGTTCTAAAACCAGAGCATAAAAACTGATGATGTCATTCCACTGATTGGGATAGAAATCATTGTCTTTTCCCATTATAAAGTAATTATATTCTAGTCCATTTCTTTTCACTTCAAAGATCTAAAGTCATGCCATTAAATAGTTTCCCACAAAAAATCACATCAAAGGAAGTAGGTATTCAGGTAAAAAGTACAGGTGAGTAGAAGATATTAATTGACTGATAGTGATGGATTACATGGTTAAGTAGATAATGACCAATCATTGAATCCTCCCTATAATTGTCACTCGTATTGTTCCCGCTGATGACAATATAATACTGACAAAATGACATACAAGGCTGAGATTTGTCGCTAGTCCGTAATTTTTGGCTTATTTCAGAAGTGTGTTTGATGAAGTATAATTCGTATAGACAGAAAATCTATACTACAAAGAAGAAGGCTGGTCATTTAGTTTAAATGGATTAATATTTTTCGATGTCTCTTCTTTTTCTATTTGTTTGTTTTAGAATTAAGGTAGACACTTTTTGTACCTTTTTCTCAGGTAGTGTAGGTGAAAATATGTTCATTAGTTAGTAAAATTGGAATGTGATTGAAGAATTACAGGCCTAGATCTCTTATGATCAATTTGTCAAAAGTTTATCAAACGAAATACTGCACAGAAGGTGACAATCCTGGACACTATAGATTATGTAATCAAATTCTTCACAAAAAATTGACATATAAAAGTAAATATTTTATTCTTGAAGATGATTGTGTGACTTTCTTTGTATTTATGTTGTCGTATGGTATATTCTTGTCTGTGGTATCCAAGAATTTTTTTAAATTGTCGCATTGTTACTTGTGGATACAAGGCTTGAAGACTAAGGCAAAAGTTGTTTTTTCTACTTTAAGTGGATCTTTAAAAAAGAATTTGAAAAAAAGTAAAATGTAACTAGGTTGTGTGCTGAAATTTAGACTTTGTGGTATTCAGATATACTGTTGATTCAAAATTAAAATGGGAAGTATATAAGTCAGTATTTTCCACTGTTCAATAAATATAGATACTGACTGGCTGAGGTTCATGGTAGTTCTCTCTGATATACTATTGTATTAACCAGGCACACCATTAACGGATTAATTTATTAATTTTGGGGAGGGTAGTGGGAGGTTTATATCTTTTTGTCTAGCCCAAAGCTTAATCTAAGAATATATAGTGATGGCTAATCAGGAATAAGTGCCATATAGTAAAACAACTAAAATACTTTTAACTTGATTGATACAAACTTTATCATCCAAAAAAACATGATATCAACCTCAGCCAATGGCCTTGGTAGATGATACATTATACATGTACTCTTGAGTTAAAAAATCTTTGAAACCACTTCTTTATAAAAGTCATTTGTTAAGTATATCCAGTAGGAAATATCTTTGTTAAGCCTAACCTTAGGCATATTTGTAGATTAAAAAAGATGATGTTGATTCTGATAGAACTATAGAAATCAGATATGGTAGGAATATTCCGCTGAAGGTATCTACAAAAAAATACTACTATCCATTATTGCCCCCAATGGGATTACTTTTTGGTAGTAATATATTGTATCATGGAGAAATCTTTGTATTGATATCAGAGGTTTTTGAAGCTTACATTTCCATTACATAATTATGAATTTTCATCATTTAACCCTAGACAAAATGTATTTAAAATAATTTTCTCGATTACTCAAAATGGTCATCAAGGCTCATCCTGCATGGTCTTATGTTGGTTACAACACTTGGGTCTGTTGAATAATTTACTAAAAGTTCATGGGCACCTTTAGTTCAAATTATATGCTGTATAATTTGAAACTTAATATCATTTAAAAGTTAACATAACTTGAATTTTGAATTGTCTTTAAGACTGCTTATAATAAATATTTAATGATTTTTGTGAAAATTTGATAATATGTTCATTCATCATAGTGGGAATAAGATTACAAACTGAAATCAAACCTTTTATGTTCTGAATGAATTAATACTTTTAAAAAATGCTGACATGAAAAAAGAATTATATTTCAATCTTTCAGCATGTGAATATAATGCATTGTATATGATTGCTTCTGAATTATATATTAATGTATAGCAAGGTTAGTAAACGATATAGTATGATACAGTATGGTAAAAATGGATAGAATGTGAACCTATTTTTATCCTTTAAAAGGAGAGGGTACTTATCATTCAGTTTATATCCTTTAAAAGGAGAGGGTACTTATCATTCAGTTTATATCCTTTAAAAGGAGAGGGTACTTATCATTCAGTTTATATCCTTTAAAAAGGAGAGGGTACTTATCATTTAGTTTATATCCTTTAAAAAGGAGAGGGTACTTATCATTCAGTTTATATCTTTTAAAAAGGAGAGGGTACTTATCATTCAGTTTATATCTTTTAAAAAGGAGAGGGTACTTATCATTCAGTTTATATCCTTTAAAAAGGAGAGGGTACTTATCATTCAGTTTATATCCTTTAAAAAGGAGAGGGTACTTATCATTCAGTTTATATCCTTTAAAAAGGAGAGGGTACTTATCATTCAGTTTATATCCTTTAAAAAGGAGAGGGTACTTATCATTCAGTTTATATCTTTTAAAAAGGAGAGGGTACTTATCATTCAGTTTATATCCTTTAAAAAGGAGAGGGTACTTATCATTCAGTTTATATCTTTTAAAAAGGAGAGGGTACTTATCATTCAGTTTATATCCTTTAAAAAGGAGAGGGTACTTATCATTCAGTTTATATCTTTTAAAAAGGAGAGGGTACTTATCATTCAGTTTATATCCTTTAAAAAGGAGAGGGTACTTATCATTCAGTTTATATCCTTTAAAAAGGAGAGGGTACTTATCATTCAGTTTAATTTCCATCATGCATATTTGAAGAGTTGTCTCCTTACATATGAAACAGCTAATCATTTTAAAAAGAAATCTTTAGGATCGATATAAAAGTTATGTACATAAAAAGTTTCCTATGCAGTATAGTCTCCTGTTACAAGGTTCATAAAAACAAAATTGCTCCTAAGGATAATTTCTTTGTTATATATTAGTGATTCAACCCCTCACTTCTGTTATATGGCAACATTTACTTTGTTGAAAACATTTGCCATACGAATTGAGGACTACTGGTGTAATTGTATGAGAAAGGATAGAGGAAAACCATTTCAGAATTCAAGGGGCCAAAAAAGTGTCCCAATTCCTCTCCTTTGGCAATATAAAGAAAAAGGATATATTACAATGATACATTTATCAAGTAATCAAAATGTTATACTGGTAATTTTACAAATCAAAATACATATATTATCCAAAGGAAACTTGTCATATGAATAATATTATACCCTCAAAGTCTTCTTGTTATCTTATAAATATTTGATATTTATGTGGAAAATTTGATGACATTTCATTTATGGATTTCAAAAAATGAAACTGAAGATTGAAATCAAAATGAGGAAATATGGACAAAATTGTCAGAAGATTTCAAGTTCTGAATGATATAATAATCATCCTTCTATTATAATTTCTGAAGAATTATATGTCAATGTGTGGGCAATAATAACATTGTAAAAACAGATCTTTACCTTAAGAAAAAGAAGATTGACAAAAATGAAAGATTGAAATCAAAACACGGAAACAAGGACTAAATTGTCTGAAAATGTCAAGTTCTGAATGAAATCATAATCATCTATCTTGCTGTTTTTGTGAATTCTTTATTTCATTGTGTCTGCTTTTTTTTAATTCAAAGGAATAATTGAGAAGATTATGAAAGAAGTGACTTTAGAAAATGGAATGAAAGAGGGTGTTTGATTTAGGTGTGTTTTGGTTACACCAATTCTCAAATGATGGACAATACAGTTGAGTCATTATTGTTCCTTTGTTTCAGTCTTTAGGAGATTTTTGTCATATACTCTGTGTTCATTTAAATCTGATGGTACCAACATCATTTTCAATTAATTTGTAATAAAAGATTAATCCACATAGTGGTAAATGTCATCTGCTTTTGTTAAAGCAACTATAGAAAAATACTTAACATCATCAACCCTTAAATTTTATTTTATTTAATTATTTATATTGATTTGTATGATATCAGTTTTTTCTGAACTTAGATTTAATTTTACTGATCAAGAGAGAAAAAAAAAATTGTAAAGGGTTCTGTTGAACCAAGTGTATAACCAGTGATTGCTGCTGTCAGTTACCTGCGATAACTGCTGTCAGTAACCTAAGTCCATTTCTAAGTTAAATACAGAATTTAAAAAAAAAATCAAACTTTTTTCTATTGGTGTTATTTCTTAATCTTCTAGAAGCTTCTTTCCTTAACATTCACTGAAGGTTTGACAAAGTTATAGATGTCTAAAATACTTTAACTACAGACTGTATCTAAATTTTCATTTTAAAGTTCATTTATCAATAAAATACGGAAAAAATGGAAAATGATATTTTAAGATTTTTGCTCTAGATACTGTCTTTTAATCATAAAAAAGCTTCTGTCCAAGTTTCATTATTATCCATCAAGGTTTTTATTTATGTTTAAATAAAAAAACTTTAGTCACACACTGAACCTAAATGTTGCTGATGCAGACACTGCCGGAATGTAGAATCACTATATTTCTCTTTCGCTTCAATATGTTGCTGGCTTGACAAAAAATGGAAGTATTGATAACCAATAGGGGTAATATAGCCATACCAGGTGTTATTGAGTCAGGAACCTTTTCAGTGGTTATTTCTGTAGTTATAACTGTGTGATTTTGTCTTTAAGAATAGTTGGTGTTAATCATAAGCTTTTGGTAGTCTCTATTTGCATCTTGTCTCGATTTTGACAGTTAGAGTTTGAAATGGAATTGGTATAGAAATTTGTCTATTATTGAAGACCACATGTTGACCTTAATGTGTCTTTGTGGCTTGTTTGCTGGGTTGCATAATCATATTCTTATTCCCTTTATTTGCTTTATTTCATGTTAAGGTACAGTTCTAATAAAGTAGTATTATTTTAAAACTCAACCTCTCACCAGAGGTCATCTCTGTTGGGCATTACTAATCTGTAATGTGACAAAGAAAGAAATAGGAGTTTCAGCATTTCATGTCTAAAGAAACTGTCAGATTCACATTTTGCTTTATAACCATTTGATGACTTTGACCATTTTGAAAAATGTATTAAAAATATGAATTTTTGAAAAAATGTGTGATTCATGTGAAGTTTGATGATATCATTCATATTTTTCAAGAAAGAAAGTGTTGATGGAATTCAAAATGAGGAAATAAGATCAAAGTTGTCTAAAGATTTCAAGTTCTGTATGAAATAATAATCATTCTATTATAAATGATAAAGAAATTTATGTCAATGTGTGGGCAATATTTGAATTGATTTTACCATAAAATGATGATAATTTTTGACATATTCTGAATGAAACAATAATCATCTATTTTGCTGCTTTTGTGAAGACTTATATTTCGTTGTGACTTCATTTTGAATTAAAAAGAGTATTTGAGTTGATTAAAAAAGAACTTTCTGTTAAAAGGGAAATCACAAAAAATGTAAACAAAAAGGGTGTGTTTCATATATGTGCATTGAGTTACACCGATATTCTCAAAATATGGACAACACAATCGGGTTATTATTGTTCTTAAGATCAGAAAGATAATGTTTACCTGTATGACATGTATTTTATATACTGAAGTAATACCTTAATTTTGTTGGTACATGTACCAGTTTAGATGGACCAACAAAAAGTAGCTAATATTGATATTCTTTATTGTGGTCTTGTCATCTGCTCCTATAACAGCCATTATAAATAATTAATTTCACTGACTTAAATTTTGTAAATGTAAGGTTCATTTGCCTTAAAATAACAAAATATTTATGATTTTCAATTATAACCATACCATAAACTGCCTTCCACAAAGAATGACAATTGTTGCAACATGCCTGACGATAATGTTTTTTCATTGATTTTGTTTTAATTTCTATCAAATAAAATGTTGGTTCCATATACTCTATTACAGGAATATTATATTGCCTAAAAAGTGAGCTTAGCAGCACACAACATTTCTAAAGCAAACTCACCACTCAAGCTAAGCTATATGTACCATTATCGATTTTTAGAAATAACAATTTTAGAATACAAAACTTTCATTAGAATGTCTGGTTTTAAAGAATTTTCAATAATTTTCTCTACTTTTCTCTTAAACTTATTGCTCTACTAGCTCATTTAGTTTATAATGGCATTTGTATGATACTAATTGTGAAACTACGGCTTAATTACATGTAAGAAGATGTGGTATGAGTGCCAATGAGACAACTCTCCATCCAAGTCAAAATTTATAAAAGAAAACCATTATAGGTCAAAGTACGGTCTTCAACACGGAGCCTTGGCTCACACCGAACAGCAAGCTGTAAAGGGCCCCAAAAATTACTAGTGTAAAACCATTCAAACGGGAAAACCAATGGTCTAATCTATATAAAAAACTAGAAACGAGAAACACTTATGAACCACATCAACAAACGACAATTACTGAACATCAGATTCCTGACTTAGGACAGGTGCAAACAATTGCAGCGGGTTTAATGGTACCAAACCTTCACCCTTATCTGAAACAATAGTGTAACATCACAACATAGAAAGACACACTATAAAATATCAATTGAAATGGCTTAACTCAATCAAAAGACATATTAACACCAGTGAACATACACTGAACAAATAAACTTAAGTTTTCCTCATCTTTTGGTTCGTTTTTGTTTATAGAAAATCTTTTGAAACTAATGCATTTTTGGAATTTTTTATGTTTTCAGGAAAACCTTTTTAAGTTGACAAATTTTGAATACTTTGAAGGTAGCTGCATTGATTTTCTGGAATTAATATATGATCATTAGGATTTTCAGTTGTGGTCTAAATACAGAATAAAGGTGCTTTTCATAGAAAATTGGATATTCCAGGAGCTATATGTTTAGTCATTTATTCTTGATTAGTCATGGCTGTTAAATCACAAAACAAAAAAATGTAAATTCTTACCTGTTAAAGAACTGCAGGTATCAGTATAATTATCCCAATCTTCAAGAAAATTGTTTATAATAATCACTACTGTATCATTTGACAATTATCCAATTATAATATATGGCACGATTCCACAAAAAAATATATCAGTTCACAAAAATTTGTCTATGGATGGAAATCTACAACCACTAGATCGATTGCACCTTTATGATTTTATGATTGATGTGATCAAAGAGACAATTGGCTTGACAAGGAGAGGTGAGAGATGCTCCTGGCTATGTCAATATCTGATCACTGACCACATTATCAATGATTGACTGACTAATCTTGACAAAATGATTGCCTCCCAGAAAAATGTAGAAAAATATAAAGTCGTCAGTTATACACCCCAATATACATCTTTATCGATAATCAGCTGATTATAAAGTCAAATGATGTGAAAAGTACCTGGCTGGCACCTCCCAGTTGTACAGGTGGCCAAGGTAGTTAGATTTCACCTTTGTTTCTAGGTGTTTAGTGATTTTTGTACAAAATCTGTCCATGTATATAATTCGATGTTGATTGAATTATAACTCTATCAAATTTAATATCTAAAAATTTTAACATTCAAGGACATTTACACTGCATTTGATAAAATTTCCAACAATTGATCTAAGTTAAATAATCAGACAATATCAAAAAAATACTTTGTTGTTAGAATTTTAATTACAACTGCAAGACATTGGCATGCTAATAATTGTTTATTGTAAGAAAGAGAACTTAGTCTAGTTAGTTGTTCATTTTCAAGCGAAAGTAATTAATTTTAATTTCTACTCCCTTTATTATATAATTTACATTCCATCTACATGAAAAGTAGACCATGGTATAGATGCTTTTGATTCAATAGTTGTTCTGTAAAACATGACTTATTATTTGTTTAATTTGAAACAGGGAACCAGATTCTGCTTAGTCATAGTGACGTGTTGGAATGACCATCGATTGCATGTGGAAGGAGCCTTGGTGATCGAGTGGTCTAAGTAGTCACTACTATATCAATAGCCATATAACACTGAGGTTGTGAGTTTGAATCCCGTACATGGTAGGTGCATTCGACTCAAATCTTAATTGGCTAGGATTGTCAGTTTTCCCATCAAAGGTTGGTGGTTCTCTTTGGGACTCCAGCTTCCTCCACCAATAAAAACTGACTGCCACGTAATAGAGCAATTATGCTGATAGTGTTGTTAAACACCAACCAACCAACCAACCAATCAATCAATCAATCAATCAATCAATTATGCTGATAGTGTTGTTAAACACCAACCAACCAATCAATCAATCAATCAATCAATCAATCAATCAATCAATCAATCAATCAATCAACCTATACATGAATATAGAAAGGATTTATGCCTTGTAAAAATCCCTCATTTGTATAAATTTATTTGAATTATTTAGTAAGGTGGTGCTTTAAAATTGAGCACAACAATTTCTGTATTTTTGAACAACAATCACCAATACCACCTCTGTCCCTATCCCACCACTAATGGACTGAATTTGAGTTAAAAATGATACATAAAACATCAACTTCAGGTTCAATAGTGGTATTGTTTATTTAATGAATGAATCCTGATGAAATTTTCACTTGATATTTTTTTAAAGAAACTAGTTTACATCTTTCTTAAAGATTTTTTTTACTTTGGTTGGTTGGTATATATAGGCCCTTTGTAGTTTTAGCTCCTCATTCGCCCAATCGGCCTTTTGATGAAATTAATCCAGAGAAAGGGTTTGTGTATAAAAACAAATATTTGAAACTTTCTTTTTTGGAAATCGTTGTTGTTTTTTTTTTTTATTGTAGGCAAGATTAATAAAGGTATATAGCATGCAATAGCATTATATGGTTTGTAGGTATCTTTAAGAGTGAGATAATTAATTACATGTAAAACAATTTTAAAAATTACTCCATTTAAACTCAAAATGAAGAAATTTGTAATGACCATTAATAATTTTTCTTTCTTTTTGATGGATATTTTCTGTAGAAGAGTATTTTATGAAATAAAGTGCAATGATGTTTCAGGAAAACGGTCTATGCTGATAACCATTTATGAAGGGAATGACTTGTGATTTTTCCTGTATTATGGATACTTGAGAAAATGAAAGTCATCGTTTTGAAATTCAAGTCTTGTCTTTGTAACTTGCAATTTTTCTTGCGGTTTTAAATGACTTAATTTTATGAATGAAAATGTGTATAAATCATAGTAACAATGTGTTGTATGCTCAAAAATGGACTTCAACTGCAACACAGTCGATTTATTTTTGTTCCCTGATTTGGGAGGAGAAGTAATCTGAGTTCTAAATGGATCTGTTTGTTAATGTACACCTGTTATAAACTTTATATCCTTTCACATAAAATTCCCACTATTATGCAACTAGTTAAGGTAGTAATTCTTAAAGGCTTATTTCAGGTAAAAAATAAAAACAAACGTTATAAAATAATTTTTTGTGAAATTACAGATATTGTGTCCTAAATTTAAACTTTAAACAGATTATTGCCATTCTAATTTCAATGTTATTATTTATCAGTTTAATTCCCCAAAGTATTTATTACATGTATATGATATCAGGGGTTTTGTTATCATTTACATCTGTCAGAAGTAAAAAAAATATTTCCTTAAATGTTAGAAAGAAATTGACTCAACAAGTTTAAATTTGAATAATAAAAAAGAAAATTGTATATGTTCCAAATATAAAGAAATTATTTTTACTTCATGTGAATAATGTTTGGACAAAAGTTAATGATCAATATAGATCTCTTTTTATTAAGTTGATCAGTAGATGTATGACCATAAGTTTACCACAAATATCTGACAAATGCTTTATCATAAAATAAGAGAAGGAAATATATAAAGTATATATAATCCAATAAATCATTTGTATAATTATTGTCATATACATAGAAACAAATTGTTATATTATTGACCCATCATGATCAAACTTATTATTGCTCTGTTGGTCACTTCACAGGCAAACAGTACATAAACTGTTACCCTTAGGCTAAGTTTAACACAAAAACTGCTATATCTTTTGTTTAGAAAATAAATTTTCTATCGGATCATTTGACTTTAATCTGTTATATTTGACATGTTGTTCTTTATGATTATTTCTACAAGTTGTTGGACAATGTTAAGTATGTGAGGTGGTGACTTTTTTTAGACGCCAGTCACGTAAAGCACCTGACGTTTCAAAGCCTACGGACAATTATTCCTTATAATAACTTCAAATTATTTTATATCCTTTGATAGAAACATTTTTTCCTTATTAAATTTTGAACAAAAGGAATTATATTTATAGTTTATTAAATATTTAAAATTCTTCTATAACAGGCATTTGGTTTGTGAAAATAAAAGTATATAACATGGACAGCATGTTTGGTTTAATTATTCTGTCAAGTGAAAATCTTAGGTCTGAAAATAAAATAATTGAATTAACTTAATTTTTGTTATCATTTTGTTACTTGTCAATTTGGTATGTTGAATTAACATAGGTTTACGTAACTTTATAATTATATTTTTTATAAACTCACTTTTACATTGTTCTGTATAAATATAATTAAATTTGAAAGAAAAATCTTTGGCAGTGATTCAGTTAAATTGCATGGATTTCATCAAGTCTTTTTAAAGAATAGATTTCAATTGCCCACATATTTAATTTGGCAAGCATTTTTAAAATTTTATGTGTGCATATTTTCTATTTTCATTAATGTCAGTTAGATTGCTAGAAATTTGTTCAAATTTTGACACTTTAAAAAATTACATTTAACAGCCCATCTATCATCAAAGATGGCTACTTTAGTACCATTAATTTCTCACTTTTTTCACTCCTCGAAATAAAAAGTTCCTAAAGTAAATATTAATATAAAGAAAAGGAAAAACAGGGTATAGAGGGTTGTGCAATCGCTGCAAGATCACATTTAATACAATGCATCTACATACAGACAATACTAAATATGTCCAAAATCCAAATCATAAACTGGGTATGGTAAATGTATAGGATGGGTTGGTTTTTTAGGGTTAAGAAATAAGTAAGCAAAACTAACTTCTATTATAAACTTAACTATCATGGTCAAGAATGTCGAATGTCAAAAAATTTTCATTTATATACTGACAAACAAATCAGAAAAATGCAGAAAGGACCTCTATCAATATTGCCTTAGCTAATTTTGATATCAAACCCTATTATACTAAACATTGTACTGTAAAGAAATGGAAAAATTAGAACAACCATTCGTAAACTTTCCTGAAATATCACCAATTTTCCAAAAATAGCAGCCCTACATATAAATGCCAGTAGGCCAAACAGAATAAATGGCACACGATTCAGTTGCAGGTGAGTGATCAATGAGCCTCTAGCTCTTCAGCTGAATAACTAACTGTTGTATGTTACATCTGTTGATGTCACATATTGGACTATCTTCTTCTACACCGTTTGTCTAGTGAAGGTTTATAAAAGGTTTAAATTATTACAAAATCACTTAAGAGGACATTTTAAAGATGCTTTAAGAACACCATATGGTTAGATTTCATTATGGTTGTATTAAAGTAGTCAATAAAGACATGAATAAATTTCAAATGATAATAATAAAATCACTTAAACATTCTTAAATAAATATTGTCAATGATTTGAATATTAATTGTCAACAAAGACACATGCATATGAATTTCCATGATTTTGGATTCTGGAATAGTCAATGTTTATTGTGGATGTCATTTATTGTACATTTATGAAGGTAGTAGGGCGATTTTAGCAATCAAGTTGCTGTAGGGACAATGAATTATAATATCACTTTTATTTTACATGTTTATCAGAATTATGTTAATTTTGTAAAGATTACATAGACCAGAATAAATTAGATTCTGTAAATAAGAAACAAAATAGTATTCAATGAAAAAATCGACCTATGTAACTTCATATATTTCATGTAGCCTTATTGGTACCTTATATATATGTAATGTCATTAGATGAAAAGGAAGCCCAAAGGTTGAGGTCTGAATATGCATGGTACTTGTATATAAAATTTCTATGTACCAGAAGGATTAGATTGTTTGAAGTTTTTTGTGGCTTTAAAAAGTTTAGGTTAGTTTTGAGTCTATCAATTTTGAAATGATAGCACAATGAAGTTTTCTTTTATTAAAGGCATTTCTCATAAAAGAACACAGAACTGCATCACACTTATACAATAACTGTTAGCTTTCTTTTCAGTGTTGATTTATTACATAAATCCAAAAATATTAGTTAGCTACAGTAATTGTATGTTGTTTAGAAACAAGGTATGAACTTTCCCCTGCAAATTTGATCTTTGACATTACACTTTAGTTGGATTTAAGGTATAGATCTTAATGCATGAACTTATGCACCATTTGCATGTTAACCTTTTATTTATACCTTTCTTTTGGCCCAGATTAAAGTTATATTATCAATGAAGAAAGGGCCATTCATTCTTCATCCAGTACCTTTAAATGTATTACTATTAAAAAAAGAGGGACAAACTTGATATCATAAGTAAATTTGTAATTTGTTGAACATTTTTATTTATGGTTCACCTGTATCCATGAAATCCACAAAATTGGTATCCGACAAAGGTTCAAGTAATTATGAATCCACAGTAATGGGAAGCATGATCTGCTTATAAATATTTTTCTGAATGAATTTCGAAAGGCTTTTCTACATTTTGAAGTCATTAATATCAGCATCATGCAAAATCTTACATAAACATAAATTGAATTTATGTATAGATATCATGTGAGCAATACTGGTTCCTTAAAGGTACCATTTGAGCAATACTGGTTCCTTAAAGATACCAGTTGAGCCATACTGGTTCCTTGAAGATATAAGGTGAGCAATACTGGATTCTTAAAGCCTCTTGTTACATAAATATTTTAAGGCAGAGGCATTTGTGTCTTACAATTGCCCTTCCCTATTTCAATTGTATGTTAAGAATTGTTCACCTATGATTGATAGTTGATATATAAATATGATATGTATAGCTTTATATAACATACATATCTAACAAAATTACACCAATGAGATTGTATCACAAGCAAC